ATTCTCAGTCAGGGCACAGACCTAGGTGGCAGGTTCCATCCCCAGCTGGGCACGTACGGGAGGCAACCGATAGACGTTTCTTTCTCACTTCGATGTTTCTCTCTCCCCCATTCCTTGCTCTCTAAAATCAGTAAACATACCTTCAGGTGAGGATTGAAAAAAGGAAGAAAAAAATCGAACAGAGTTACCATGTGACCCAGCAGTTCCACTTGTGGGCACATCCCAAAAGGCTTGAAAGCAGGGTCTTGGAAAGATATTTGTACCCCATGCTCACAGCAGCATCAGTCACAGTGGCTAAAACACGGGAGCAGCCCGGGTGTCCGTGGACATGGACGGGTACACAGAATGCCGTCCATCCACACAGTGGCATCTCACTCAGCCTTAAAGAGGAAGGAAATCCTGCCACCTGCCACAGGGACAGACCCTGAGGACACTGCCGAGTGAATGAGCCAGACACAGAAGGACACATACTGTGTGACCCACTCACAGGAGGTCCCGAGAGGAGTTAGATCCATACCAGGAGGTGTCAGAAAGTAGATGGTGGTGCCAGGGCCTGGGGGAGGGGTTTACTGTTCAATGGGGACAGAGCGTCCTTTTGGGAAGACGGGAAGTTGTGGAGATGACGGTGGGGACGGCTGCATGACAGCGTGAATGTGCTTCATGCCCTGAGCTGTGCACGCAGATGGTCAAGGTGGGGAGATGAGCGAAAGTGTGAAGACAAGGAGGGACCCGCGTCTGCCCCCCATGGGCCCTGGGGGCTCCCCAGGGTTTGGGTTGTTGATTTTTAAGTTGTGGGAAGAGTGAAGCTGAGTTGCTGTTTTTCAGGGTGTTTGGGGGTCACTTCATTCTGAACAAAAGCTATAAAAATGTGCGCAGAGGTCTGTGTAAGATCTCTGCCCTGATGTGGATAACTGGGGACGCTGCAGCACCCTAAATGTCTGCCTCACGAGTCCACAGGCTCTGCCATGGGGCAAGGACCCCTGCTGGAGCGGTGCCCAGGGCCCTGCAGGGCGGGGAAGGCTCTGGCTGTGGGACAGACTCAGCTGGGGGGGGTTCTTGGCCTTCCCGTTGCTCCTTGGGGTTTGTGTGAAGCGTGTGTGAGACAGACGGTTTCCTTCCAGGTCGCATGCTCATATTTTACGGGAATAAGACCTCCACACAGTTCTTAAACTTCACACCGATGCTCATCTGCTCCGATGACCTTCAGGCCAATATCCTTGGTTCCGTCTGCCCCACGCCCCTGACAGTGGTCCTGTGGGGTTTAGAGGAGGGTTCTGAGGAAGGTTTTAAAGCAATCAGAGGAGCCAGGTATTCCAGGTGCCGGTCACCTCAGGTGATGTTACTTCACAGACTGTGACACTGTTAGTCCCTTTGAGCTCTGGTGTCCTTCTCTGAGGTTCCTCCCTGGAGCTGCTGCTGCCAGAAGCAGAGGGCCCACCAGCAGCTGGGTCAGCTGGTGTGCGCACTGTGACTGTGCCCATGGAGGCCGTCGCTAATAAATGTCAGCCATGTGATGAGAACACCCGAGCCAGTGTCACCTTGGTGTCCACAGTTCTTCCCTTCCAGGTTGGGCTGGCCAAATAAAGTGCTGGTGAGCAGGGCCCCGGCTTGACCAGAGGAGGGCACTGCCTGCCCTGAAAAGCCTCCTCCCGCAGGCCACACCCACTTTTATCTTGAGACAAGTATGTTTTAAACATAGCCTGTTTCAGAATAGTTAAAAACATTTGTAGGTAGGATCAGCTGTATTTGAGGTTTTGTGTAAGATCAGCAGTGTGAGTGTCACTCTTCTGAGCCCCTCCCTTTTAGAGGGACTCTCACTCCCGGGCTCCCTGGGCATGGGGGACCACAGGGCCAGCTTGGCCCAGACCTCTCTTCCCTACGTTGAAGTGGCCTCCTTGACACGTACACATCTGAGCCTGCAGACCAAGCCCGTGGACCCGACGGTGGATGGGGGCGCACAGGTGCAGCAGGTTGTCAACATTGAGTGCGTGTCGGATTTCACCGAGGCGCCAGTCCTCAACATCCAGTTCAGGTGAGCCTGGGTGCTGGCCCCCCTGGCTGGTGGGGTGTCCCAGCCTCCAGCCCTGGCCTGGAGCTTGAGGGGCTGGAGCTGGACCTGCGTGCAGCTTTGTCCCAGGAGCCGTCTTTCCTCGCTAAGCAGCAACACCAGCTGCAGAGCATGGAGGTAGGAGGAGAACGAGCCCAGATTCTTTGAGGCCAGCTCGGTCCAACCTGAGGTTCCCGCTGGCGGGTCACCTCTTCAAGGCCCAGTACTTTCTAGCTGAGATAAGGAGGGGCCTACCCATGGGTGGGGTCCGCAGGTCCCGCATGTGCTGCCTGCCTGCTGCTGTGGAATCTACTGCGGGGCGATGGCCCCGCAGACCTTGTCTGCTGCCTGCCCTGCCCTCTTGCAGTTGCACTCTGAGTAGACATGCCCGCTGTCTTGTTTGTTTTTAAAATTATTTTTCGTATTGCTGCTGGTTCATTACTGTTATTTTCCAGTGGCTACAATGGAGTGTATGTGGTCCATCAGTTAGTTCCCCATCAGGTGTTTGTAAGGTTGCATTTTTGGAAAAGCATGTTTTCAAACACTAAATCCACAGAGATCTGAAGGTCGTTTACTTTGTAGACTTTAGGGAAATAGGCAAATTTTTATTGCATTCTATAGACAAACTCTTTTATTCAGTTTTTTCATGAAAAGAAAAAAAACCTCTGACACAATTTAAATTAATTTGGAGTAGTTGGACATGGACGGATGGGGAGGTACAATGAGGGGAGTGGACGTCCTGGAGTGTGATCACCCACAGCGCTCGGCCAGAGGAGTGTGTCCACTGACAGGTGCCCAGGAGCAGGCATGTGCCGGTCAGTGTGTGGTCCTCTCGTGATGGTGCACACGAGACAGACCCAGCTACCCTTCCAGAACACTCCGTTGCCCTGTGGACAGGACGGCCTCTCTGGCAGGCAGCTGGATCGATGAGCTGATGAGGCAGGAATTCCCCACCTTGGACCCGGCCCTTCCGTGCCCTGAGATTTGCAGGCAGGGGCATGGCTCCCAGCTGAGTTCCAGGTTCTCTGCCATCCACGGGTCTCCTCAGCACTCTCTGTTCCTTGCAGGTATGGGGGAACCTTTCAGAATGTGTCCGTCAAGCTGCCCATCACACTCAACAAGTTTTTCCAGCCCACAGAAATGGCCTCTCAAGATTTCTTCCAGCGTTGGAAGCAGCTGAGCAAGTGAGCAGCGCCTTAGGCAGTGGGTGTGGGAGGCTGGGCCTTGTGGTCAGACTAGGCTGAGGGTCTGACGTTGATCTTTGTCTTGCAGTCCCCAGCAGGAAGTGCAGAACATTTTCAAGGCAAAGCACCCAATGGACACAGAAATCACCAAAGCCAAGGTGACGGCCTTCTTGGTGGCGTTCCCGAGTTGTGACCCTGAGGACCCACCCTTGCTGCCACCAGGATCCCAACTCTCTGTTTCCTTTGTGCAGATTATTGGGTTTGGCTCTGCTCTCCTTGAAGAGGTTGATCCCAATCCTGCCAACTTTGTGGGAGCCGGTATCATCCACACCAGGACCACCCAGATCGGGTGCTTGCTGCGCTTGGAGCCCAACCTGCAGGCCCAGGTTAGGCTCTTGAGGAAGTGGTTGCACACACCAAGTTGTTTTGTTGTGTGATTGCCACAGTGAGACATGGATACTAGTGTGGGGTCGTGAGTTCTGGCAGATGTGTGCCCCCCAGGTAACTCAGCATCCTGCACACGACATTCCCTTCGCCCTCGCTGTCAGCTCTGCCTCCCCTCGAGGCAGCCCGGCGTCAGTCCCATTGCTCTGGCGGCCTGGGGGTACTCCTGCTGACCCCATCCTCCTGCTGGCAGACTCCTGGGCGGTCTGGGTGGGGCCTTGTGGGAAGAGCTGCTGCAGGTGCTTGACTGGCCTTTGTGCAGATGTCTGTTTCACTGGGTGGACGCAATGTGGAGCCACGGCTCATGGCCCAGGTACTGTTAGCTTTATGAGCAGCTGCCCCATTGCCCTTCAGGGGCTGGGGTTTGTCCACCACCAGCAGCGGCTCCACGTGCACACGGGCTCATGCCCTTATCAGACTTCACTCAGCTGTGGCAGCGTGGGCGATGCCCCTGGCTCTTAGAGCAGTGGGCACCTCAGGAAGGGCTGCGTGGGGAGAGTGAGGCTGGTGCCCGAGCTGTGCTGAGGGCCTGTCTGCCCTGGTCACTCTTAGCTGTGCTCTCTGTTGCAGATGTACAGGCTCACGCTGCGGACGAGCAAGGAGACCGTTTCCCAGAGACTGTGCGCGCTGCTGTCGGAGCAGTTCTAGTCCTAGCATCTCCGCCTGGGCCACCGTCTGCACGCTGTGCTGCCCACGAGCCCCACGTGTGTGCGTAGTGCACGCGCTTCCAGACTGCCTGCACTGCGTCCCCTAGGTGGACGGGACCACATGTACGCAGTGTGAGGAGAAAGGCTAAGCCTGGACTGCAGCCGGCCTGTCAGGTCAGGAGGGAGCACGATCTTGGGATCCGTTTTTATAGAAATCAAGACAGTTCTGTGGTTAAACCTACAAATTAAAGGGAAACTAGAAGTTTGGATGAAAATGGACAGTTTCTGGAACTTTATCAAAACACCACTACTGTGCTCATCTTGGCAACATTCTGTTGTGGGGGCTTCATCTCAACCAGGCCATGTGGCTGTTTTGGGGAGCCGCCCGGGCAGGAGGTACGTGATAAGGTCCTCCTCTGTCGCCCGCCCTATGCTCAGGGCCCTGGTGCATGAGCCCAGAGCACACGGGCTACAGTGCTGAGCGTGGCTGTCCCGGGGCGGGGTTCTCGGTCTAGACATTGGGACATCTGTGCTTTTCTTGCCCCTATACACTGTGCGTCCCTGCTGGTTCAGTTGTCTCCTTCCGGCACGTGTTCTTAAGGAGTGTTTGCAGTGCTGCTGGTGAGGGCGCAGCATGGTGAGGGCTGGCTGGTGGTTCTAGAGGGCGTGTAGCTGACCTCACTCATCTTTGGGTTTCACTGTAGTGGCCAGGGGCTGGTTCCCATTTGTGACTGGAGGGTTAAACATGGCCAGCAGAGAAGATTCTGGAAGGCGAGCTGGTCTCTTCCCTGTTGGTGGCCTTAAGCTATCCGTGCAGTTGTCCCTGGGGTCACAGTTGCAGTCAGTGCTACAGACCCTGGCCGGCATGGACGCGAGAGGGAGGTTAGCAGGCAGAGAGCTTGCTGAGGGTAAGCTGGAGCTTGTCCTCTGCACACTGCTCTCATTGCTCGACTCTCATGACTGTTGCCCCACCCTAGCCACCAGGCTGCACATCTGCACTCTGAGCTGGCCAGCCCAGGAGCTGAGCTGAGCTGGGGCCTCTCTTCTTCGAGTCAGCAGGTGCACAGAGGGCAATGACTCAGGCTGGCAGGTGGGTCTGCTTTTGGCACTCGAGGGCCTAGAGGAGCCAGGGCTCTGTTGGTTCCCCTGTTTCCCAGCAGGCGCTGGGCACCCAGAGATGTCCCTCAGACCCACATGGACCTGTGCTGTGGGGCGGTCCCTGGGGAGGCAGATGCAGGAAGGTGCCCTCTGGGTGCTGGGGTCCAGCCACACTGAGACCCCCCCAGGTTCCCACACCCAGTGTCACTGTAGCCCCTGTGGTGCATGCTCTGTGATCCACTGTGACCTGAGTCACCAGTGCCTCTGTGTCCACCTCTGTGTCTGTAGGGTCCTCAGCGGGACACCTGTGGCCAGCAGCACTGGGTGTACAGTGAACATCGGTGGAGGCTGGCCACAGAAGTGAGCTCCTGGTGTTTCTGTTCAAGCTCCTGACAGTGTGCGTGCTCGGGCTCGTCCATGTGGGCTGCCTGCTTGGCGGGGTCTCCCCTATCCATCCCCACCCTCCCTGGAACGACACCTAGAGCGAGTCCCATTCTAGGTGTGAGTCATCGTAAAGGATGTTCCTTTCCAAGGAAAAGTCAATGCTGGGATGGTGATGGGAGTGTACGTGTCGTCCCCAGAGGGATGGGACAGTGATGGGAGCATGTGTGTTGTCGTTGGGTGGACGGAATGGTGATGGGAGTGTGCGTGTCGTCCCCAGAGGGAAAGCAGCCTGCATGCAGCTGGAAGTCCCGTCCTGGAGGCGTGTTAGCTGTTGACCCCAAGGACACAGCTCGGTGCCTGGGTGGGCTGTCCTCCAGAATGTGGCTGCCTGGCCTCAGGTGGAAGCTTAGGTGCATTGGAGGTGATGTGCCTTTTGCTCTGCACTGGGTTTAGGGTGTGTGGTTGAGCCTGTGGGGTCATCCCGCTAGGGCCCCACCGGGTCCCCTCCACTGCACAGGGCATGGGGGGTGGTCGGTCTATGGAGGTCGTGGGTCTAAGAGACAAATGGGACCAGGGTTCCTCCTGGGGAATAAGCCCGCAGAGCTCATGGGAGGGTGACCCCACCACAGACTGGGAGCAGGATCCCACAGGATGGAGGTTTCTCAGAAGAGTCCTAAGTAAGGGAGGGACCTGGAGGTTGGCCTGAGGAGGGCAAGAGGGCCTGCAGCGGGGAGGGTCCTAGCCTGACACCAGCCTAGCCTCCTGGGGCAGGCGGGCTTGGAGGCACAAGTGCCGAGGGGCAGGGGACACAACAAGCAGAGCTCACAACAGCCTTGTGCGTTGACCAGTGGCAGTTTATTTGTCATCTGTTCACAGGGGTTTATTGAGCATGGCACTGTGATGCCCCTCCCCAGGGTGAGCTTGGTTGGTGGGCAGGAGCCCATGTTGGCTGGTGCCTGCGTCCACCTTCCTCTTGCCCTCATTTCCCTTCCCTGACTACTCGGCCCCTCTCCTTGCTGCCTTTTCCCTAACCATCCTTGCTTCAGTGCCTCCCTCTCCTCAGGCACCCCTCTGGAGCAGGTTTCCTTGGGTGTCCCCAGGGTGTGGTTCGGCAGGGCTGGGCAGCTGCCTTCCAAGGCTGGGAGGCTGTGTGGATGATGGTGGGCGTGGCCTGAAAGACTTGTATAGACTGGAGGCCAGCAGTTCAGGACAGCCTGTTGGGCTGGGCCAGGTCTGCGGGACCCGCTCCTTATAGACCCTTCCCTGAGCTGTGCCCAGGGTTGTTTGAGGCCATGCCTGGAAAGGGGCTGCTGGGCACAGCAAGCAGGGGCTGGGGAGCAGGGAGCGGTGCTTCCTCTTCTCACCCGGGGGGGCTGTGCCCTAGTCTCTGCAGGTCCAGGGGCCACACACGCAGCGTCGGAACACTTGCAGTGTGAGCACCAACTGTTGGCCCGGCGCCCTAGGGTCTGGGCAGGGCAGTGCCACCTGCTTCTGGTAGGAGCCAAGGGGGTGGCAGCAGCTGCAAAGAGTGTCCACTTGCTCGGTGTTTGGGTTGAAGCTGAAAAGAATCCACCGCAGTGTGTATGGGTCAGGGTTGCAGCCTTGGGGGGGGCGGTCCCACCCCTCCCCAGCCACTCCAGAGAAGGGCAGACCAAGGGGGGGTCCTCAGGGTACATCCTCTGTTGCTGACCTCCCGGCTCTCAGGGGGTCAGCTACAGGCATAGCTGAGGCAGGGCATGAGCTCATGGCTGGACCTGAGGACTCCAACTGGGAGCCTCTGCTGGGCACGGCAGTCTCCAAGCTTGGAGCCCAACAGTGGGTAGAGGCTTCCTGGGTCCCACGCTCACCTCGTTACAGAGGCGCAGACGCCCTCACAGCGGGTCACTGTCACGTTGGCCGTGCACCCCTCATAAGTGACCTCCTCCTCAAGTTCCCTCACACGGCAGACCTCTGGGAGCCGAGAGACAGGCAGTGAGATGCTGCACCAGGGTAAGGTGGTGGCAGGTGCAGGGTAGGACTTGTGTATCCTCGGGGCTTGGGGCCTCAGGCTCCTCAAGCCCCTTCTGTGTGGGATGGGGAGTAATGCTGGCCCAGGGAGCCGGGGGAAGCAGAATACCAACCGCACAACCACTTAGATGAGACTGGGTCCCATGGGGGGCCTGTTGGATCCCACCCAGGCTGTCTCCTCTTGTCTGAGCCCCACTGATCTCAGACCTCACACCGGGCACAAAGCCTGCTGGTCTCCCCTGAGGTCAAGGGCTTCTTAGAAGATGAGGCAGATTCCCACGCTGGTCCCCAGCCTCCCCTCCCAGCTGATACCTACCTGTGGGCATAGGTGTGTCTGGTTGGCTGGGCCTAGAACCTGCAGGAGGGGTAAGGGGGGGATGTCAGTGTTCTCAGATGGGAGCTGCCTGCAGGAGTCTGTGGTCCCCAAGTGGACCTGTGAGCTTTGGCCTGTGTCCAACCCAATGGACAACCTACACCCAGCGCTTTTCCTACAGGAGATATGTGTCACTGTGAACAGTCCTACCTGGGGCTTGTGAGGGGAGCCCAGTCCAGGCAACAGATGCCATGGAGGGCACACCCAAAAGGGAGGGGAGTGCTGTCCCTGGAGGACAAGGTGGGTTAAGGCAGGCCTGGGTGCAGGAGGGCAGAGTGGAAGCTGGAGGGCTGAAGCTTGGGCAAGACCAACAGTGGGACATGGGGGCCCTGCTGCTAGTCCCAGCTCGGCCCCTAGTGGTCACCTGGGGTGAGGCATGGCCTACCAGTCTGCTTGCCTTTCTGCAGCCTGGGGGAAGGTGGGAATAGTTGCACTCTGGATGCCTGCCAGCCCTAACCTCCTCTGAACCCCACACTGCGCAGCGGTGGAAGGCTGCTGAGTAGTGGGGTCCCCTCCAAGGATAACCAGGACTGTAGGTGGGACCATGAGGGTGAGAGGTGGGGTATGAGTGAGCCAGGTCCAGGACTGGAGGTGGGAAAGGGGACCAATGGGGGAGGCCAGTGCTCATTCCAGCCAGACAGGTTTGCTGGAGAGGTTCCTGGGGAGGAGAGAGGGAGGAGTTGGCGACCCTACAAGGAGGGTTGAGAACAGGCCCCAAGGGAGGGAAAACGTGGCAGAGGACAGGCCAGAGAAAGCAGAGGCCTGGGAAGCAGGTGAGCTGGTGAGGATGCAGACACCCTGAGTGCACAGCTGAGTACACCCTATAGCTGGGCCGACCCAAGGCAGGCTCTGCAACCAAGACTGTGCTCAGCTCCCTGTGCTACCCGGCTATCCTCAGAAGTGAAGGCTTCAGGGGAAGGAAAGGAGACATACCAACCATGAAAACAGCAGTATGTCAGGTGTGATGTGAGTACAGAATGGGGGACAGACAAGTTGGCATTGGAAGAGCCCTGGTGGCATCAGGCAGTGTGAAGGGACAAGAGAAAGGAGGGACACTGTGGGAATGATCCACTGTGCTGCTGAGTACAGAGGCAAGGCTGGGAGGAAGCAGTGCCCCAGGGTCACTAGGTGGGCTGTAGAGACATCACTTACTGGAGTAGCTGGGCCAGGATGTGAGGAGAGATGAGGCGGAGGACCCCGCAGTGGGGGAGGAGGAGCTTCTTTGCGTAGTGATGGAGCTGGTCAGGAAGATAGTGGTCAGCAGTCCAGTGGTACTAGGATGCCTGGTGGTGAGGTTCGTGGCAGGAGAACTGGGGATGGATGTCACCCCCAGAGTGGATGACATGAGGCTAGGCATGGGAACTCGGGTGGTGAGAAGAGTGGACTGTGAAGTAGTGGACACAGAAACCATGGGGGAAGAGTGAATGGTGAAAGGAGTGTGTGGCCTGCTGGGCGTGGCCGTGGCAGTGTGTGCCCCTGGGGTCCCTGTGCCTCTGCTGGTGGTCTTGGGGGAGACGGTGGTGCGTGGAGGGGACGTGGTCCCAGAGTGTGCCGGGGCGGAGGGGTGTGACACGAGGGAGGTGGAGGTCTTGGCTGTGCTGACAGAGTGAGGGGCTTGGGTGGTTCCCGTTGTGGTCATGGTCCCTGGCGGAGCGGTGGGTGAGGGCCCTGTGCCTGTGACCGGGACGTGTGTGGATGGCGGAGAGGAGCCTGTTGGCCTTGCAGTAGAGGGGTAAGGAGAGTGGGTGTCTGGTTGCGTTGGGGTGACCACTCGGTGCGAAGTGGGAGTGACAGAGGAGGTGGCAGAGTTTGGAACGGGAGTGGACTGCGTGGTCTTGGATGGAGATGCTGTTGGGAAGGTGGTGGTGGTCCGGAATGATGTTCCTGTGGGCGGGCCTGTCAGGTGTGCGGTGGTGGACACTGACCCCGTGTTGGGGGACTGAGTGGTGAATGGAGTGTGTGGCCTGCTGGGCGTGGCCGTGGCAGTGTGTGCCCCTGGGGTCCCTGTGCCTCTGCTGGTGGTCTTGGGGGAGACGGTGGTGCGTGGAGGGGACGTGGTCCCAGAGTGTGCCGGGGCGGAGGGGTGTGACACGAGGGAGGTGGAGGTCTTGGCTGTGCTGACAGAGTGAGGGGCTTGGGTGGTTCCCGTTGTGGTCATGGTCCCTGGCGGAGCGGTGGGTGAGGGCCCTGTGCCTGTGACCGGGACGTGTGTGGATGGCGGAGAGGAGCCTGTTGGCCTTGCAGTAGAGGGGTAAGGAGAGTGGGTGTCTGGTTGCGTTGGGGTGACCACTCGGTGCGAAGTGGGAGTGACAGAGGAGGTGGCAGAGTTTGGAACGGGAGTGGACTGCGTGGTCTTGGATGGAGATGCTGTTGGGAAGGTGGTGGTGGTCCGGAATGATGTTCCTGTGGGCGGGCCTGTCAGGTGTGCGGTGGTGGACACTGACCCCGTGTTGGGGGACTGAGTGGTGAATGGAGTGTGTGGCCTGCTGGGCGTGGCCGTGGCAGTGTGTGCCCCTGGGGTCCCTGTGCCTCTGCTGGTGGTCTTGGGGGAGACGGTGGTGCGTGGAGGGGACGTGGTCCCAGAGTGTGCCGGGGCGGAGGGGTGTGACACGAGGGAGGTGGAGGTCTTGGCTGTGCTGACAGAGTGAGGGGCTTGGGTGGTTCCCGTTGTGGTCATGGTCCCTGGCGGAGCGGTGGGTGAGGGCCCTGTGCCTGTGACCGGGACGTGTGTGGATGGCGGAGAGGAGCCTGTTGGCCTTGAAGTAGAGGGGTAAGGAGAGTGGGTGTCTGGTTGCGTTGGGGTGACCACTCGGTGCGAAGTGGGAGTGACAGAGGAGGTGGCAGAGTTTGGAACGGGAGTGGACTGCGTGGTCTTGGATGGAGATGCTGTTGGGAAGGTGGTGGTGGTCCGGAATGATGTTCCTGTGGGCGGGCCTGTCAGGTGTGCGGTGGTGGACACTGACCCCGTGTTGGGGGACTGAGTGGTGAATGGAGTGTGTGGCCTGCTGGGCGTGGCCGTGGCAGTGTGTGCCCCTGGGGTCCCTGTGCCTCTGCTGGTGGTCTTGGGGGAGACGGTGGTGCGTGGAGGGGACGTGGCCATTGTTGACCTTGTGCCTGGGCTTGTGTTTTTGGTGGTCTGGTCTGTGGTGCTGTGGGGCGATCGTGTGGTGGTTCCTTCAGGTTGGTGTTGGGTTGAGTTCTCTGTGAAAAACATAAAGGGTCTATTTGTTATAATTCATATTTGTTTGTCACGTGTCTTCTGCTGTCTTGTCTCCCTCCTCCTTCTGCGTTTTCCTTCCTCTGTGCACTTGTGGTCTGTCCCTATAGTGCCTGTCTGAGTCACTTCTGATTTTGGTTATTTTGTTTGTGTTTCTCCCCTGTAGGCCTACCGGGCACCCAGTGTGTTGCACTCTCAGTGTTGTTGTAATGGGTTCAGGCCAGCCCTTTTGTCTTTCCAGTAGGGTTTCTTCAGGGACTTGGAGTTGTGTCCCTGATTTAAGACCTGCTCACTATACCTTCCATCCAGTGCCTTTGCTACCTCTGGTGTCCCCATAGGCCTGTGCTCACCTGGTATTGGGGTGGCTGTGGTGGTCGGGCGGGCAGGTGCTGTGGGGAAGAGAAGTGCAGAGAGCATGTTGTTAGCTCTTGGCTCAGTCAGGCTGTCCCCCTTTGGGGTTGGATGTGTCCCCCTCCTGGGGGTTGGAAGCTGAGCTTTCATATTCATCTCCACTCAGCTTGGGCTTGGTGTTGGATCACCTGTGGTACATCCCCTCTGTGGGGACAGCTGGGTGGGGTACCCTTACTTTTGGGGATCTCTGTCGGTGTATCTTGGGTGGGTGGTGTTGGCCGTGCCACTGTGGTGCGCACTGTGGATCGAGCTGTGGATTGGGTGGCTGTGCTGATGGGGAGTGCTGAGGGCTGCGTCGTGGCCTGTGTCACGGTGGGTGCAGTGGCCGTTGATCTGGGGGTGGCTGTGGGGGCCAGCACTGATGTGGCTCTCATGGTGACAGCGGTGGTCGTTCGAGGTGACCCTGCAGAGAACAGGGCCCAGAATATCCCTCCTGATCATCTGCCCTCGCCCCCTTTTCCTGTCCCACCTGTGCTGCAGGATCCTGGCCAGCTGGGTGCACTCAACCCCCTTGACTGGGGCATGTTTCATCCCAGAGCTTACACTCATCCAGCCTTGACTTGGGGCCTCAGTGGCTTTTCCAGTGACCACAGGTCATTGGGCCACTGGCTGTCGCTTCAGCTGCCCTTGCTGGTAGGACCCATGTCTGTCCCCTCATGGTCCCTGGACAGTAGGCAGGGGTGCTGCTATGTGGGGTGGGTGGGCTCACGGAGGGCTGGCCTATGCCCCCTGGGCCCGCAGGTGCCACATACTTTTTAGTGACAGTGTCCAACAGCAAGGAACGGCACAGCCTGTGAGCAACTTACCCTTCACACCCTCTTCTGTGCCGGAGCTCCGGCCCACACCCCACGTGCATCCGCTCCTGCACGTCCTCTTTATCCCGCAGTCTCCTCACCTCCTGAGGGGGCTGTTGGTTCTGTCCCGGTGATCGGGGCTGTCCCTGCCTGTGTGGAGGAGGGGGCCGGGGCCGAGGCCGTGGGTGTAGGTGTGGCATGGGAGCTTGGTGAGGGTGCAGTGGAGCTGAGAGTGCCAGTGGTTCTGGGGGTGGCCGTGGTGTTGGGGTTGGCAGAGGTGGGCCTGGCTTCTGTGGTGGGCGGGCCTGAGTGAGGAAGAAAGGCTGTTACTGTGGGTACCACCTTGGGAGGAGTCCCCTCTCTTGCCTGCTGAGCCTCTGAATCATGCAGCCCCCCACCCCCAGTGGGCTGGACAGGAGGCAAAGGGACAGGCTGGCCTGTGGCCTCTGAGGACAACATCGGGTCCCTTCAGTCTTCCCGTGACAGTGGTGTGCAGGGGGCAGTGTTGGCTGGCCAGGAGGTGAGCTTTACACGTCCCTCCCCTCTGCTGTTCTGGTCAGCACTGGTCGCCCCCAGTGTGGGGTAGCCCAAGACTGCCCGGGTGCGTCCCAGCCCTGCTCCACCAGGCAGCCAGTGCCTGCAGAGATGGACACAGGCTGGGCTGACAGGTGACCAGGGACGAGCCTGGGGAGAGCGCCTGCTTCACCTTGGCACCTAGCACGTGCGCAATCACCTGTGGTGGGCGGCAGCGGAGTGGTGGGCAGCAGCACTGCAAGAAGAAGGGCAGTCAGCACTGTCCCCAGGTGCCGCCAAGCCTAGCCCCACCCTCCAGGGTGTCCCCAGCGCCTGAGGCAGGTGCTCCCCAGAGACAGAGATGGGACCCTGCTCCTCCACCCTCCTACCCCCATCTTCTCTCTCCCAGTACCACTCCCCAACAATGGTGATGGCCTGGCAGCTGGGACGCTGTCCAATGCCCCCATAAGGCAGCTCTCCAGGCGGGCTGTCACCCACACACCCAGCAGCCTGGCCGAGCCTGGGTCTGGGTCTGCCCTGCCCCTGGGGGCTGGGTGTGGGTAAGTCAGTGTTGGGGAGGGGAGGCACAACCATTCTCCCTGTGTGTCTGCTGTCTGGGGGCATGGGGATATTGGCGCCCCAGGGGCACAGCCTGGGGAGTAGGGTGCCGAGCTGGCCAGAGGTTTGTGCAGGGGCTGGGGGCTGCACTGTGGGGCCTCCGGACTGAGCTTACTGCAGGGCATGCATGTCCTCTTGTCCTGGTCGAAGTACTCATCCTGGGAGCAGTTGTAGCAGCCTAAGGGTGGAGCCGAGAACAGCCAGACCTCAGTGCCGGAGCCGGAGAGCCTCTTCAGCAGGCTCTGGCTCCTGCCCTCTGTTCACAGCCACTCTTGGCCTCTCCCCTGAACTGCCCAGACAGGTACCCCCTTGACCCCCACCCCAGTCACCATGCACTGTGCCTGCCGCAGTCCCCATGGCTCCTGGCTGCCCCCCCATCCCAGTCCTTCCCCAGCCCTCAGCCCTCTCCACCCTGCCCAGGAGGCCATCAGTCCTCTGGGCCCACCTCTCCCTCTCCATGCCCGCACCTTCGATGTTGGTGCCCGGGAGGCTCTGCAGCTGCTGGGGGCAGAGGCACGGCTGGTAGTGCCATGTGCAGTTGGCCTCCTGGGTGTACTGGAACTGGCCGTCGTCCACCCGCGTGTGGGAGTTGTAGAAGCCGCAGTAGATGGCTGGGAGGATGGGCGCCTGTTAGGCAGCCCTGAGCCCACCGCAGAAGCCCCTTGGCAAGGGCCTGGGAGGCTCAAGGTCCTGCTGCGGGGTCCCTTTGCAGGGCACAGCCTGCTGCTGCCTGCCCCAGAGAGGTGCTGCACCATGATCACCCACCGGTGGGGGGACAGGGTACTCACGGCAGAAGTCAGGGGCCCTCCAGTCCACGCACACGCCCTTGTCCAGGCAGGCCTTGGCATAGGCGGCTACAGCGTCGCATAGGCACTCACAGTCCCCACCAGTGTCACAGCCACACGTGTCACGCACACAGGCCTCGTAGTAAGGCAGGCGGTACACCTATGGGAACCAGCCCTCAGCGTCTGCTGCTCGCCCTCCTGTCAGGCCCGGGGCCTGAGTTTTTGTCGTTGTGGGAGCCTGGAGCCCGGCTCCTGAGGCGTGTGGCTCACCTGGCTGTGGCAGGCGGCGAAGGTCTGGCTGTTGATGATGCTGCACTTGCGCTCGGCCCAGGCGCGGCGGAAGGCATTGAGGCTGCAGGGGTCCAGTGCGAAGCTGGCGTCCCCACACAGTGGGCTCTCCTTCCATGAATTCACGAATTCCAGCTCGCTGGACGCCACGTACTTGCTGCGTGTTTCAAAGTCGTCCTTCATGTTCCCGTTGTAGTTACCGCATAGGCCGCACAGGGCGTCCTGCGGAGGCCAGTGTCAGATGGGCAGGTGGACGGATGGGCGCTGCCCCACTCTGATGGCCTGGGCAGTGGCGCATGGTACCTGTGAGGCACGCGAGATCTTGATGGAGACGGTCATGTGCTTGTTCCAGATGACGGTCAGGTTGTAGCTGCTGCCGATGGTGATGTCCAGCAGCAGGTGCAGGGAGCCGGCCTTGACCCGGAAGTGCACCTGGGGGTCTGCCCCGCTGACTGTGTAGTTCCTGTCGGCCAGCACGATGGACAGGCCCTGTGGGGCAGGGCCGTCACTGGGTTGCCCAGTGCCGCCAGTTCTGCTGCCCCGCCCGTGCTCTCTGAGGTGGAGTGTCCGTTACGGACATGGGCCGGTCAGCACCTGCTGAGGGCCAGCTCTGGGGGCAGGAGGTTCCAGAGCGTCATGGACACTGTGCCAAGGGCTGAGTCAGACTCTGGGAGAACCGTGCCCCCCCCCACGCCCATGCTGTCCAGCTCCAAGGGGTACTGCTGCCCATCATGTGGACGAGTAGGCACAGAGAGGCCAGGACCTGGGGCTTGGTGGCTGCCATGGGATACCCATGCAGCCTGCTCACCCCCAGGGATATCCTGATGGCCCGGGAGCAGGTGACACCCGATTTTCCACACACGACATTCTCTGTCAGGATCTTGAAGGTGGGCTGCGAATCATTGGTGCCGCAGCCATCCTGTGGGGAGGGGGCACTGAGGAGCCTGCCAGGAGCCCTGTGTGGTCCCCCCAGGCCATCCTCTTGGCCCCCCTATGGCCTCCCACTTCCCCCAGGGTCTCCTTGTGGCCCCCCCATGACCCCCTCCCCTTCTCCCAGGGCCTCACCGTGGCCAGGATGTACTCGCAGTTGCCCTCAAACACGAAGCGCTGCCCGTCAAAGGTGACCACGTGACCCTCCCCATAGAGGGTGCAGGTGGACGAGCAGTGGGCGCTCTGTTGGCACGTCCACTTTCCCCTGGAGCAGGTACTGCGGGGAAGCAGGGTGCTCTGGGATTCTGAGAGATGTGGGCCACACGCACCCCAGAAGGATGCCGACCCCTGCCAGTCCCAGAGGACCCCGAGGATGGCCCTGGTCTACTGGGGTCTCCAGGGTGGGACTGTGGCTCACCAGGTCTTACAGTCGGTGTGGAGCTTGGCACCCCGGGGGTAGGAGGCTCCTGCAAACTCGCATGGACACTCCTCAGGGGGCACACACTGCCCGCTGGCATTCTCGTAGAGCCCCTTGGCACAGACGCAGCCTGGCTCACACTTGGTGGGCACCTGCAGGGAGGAGGGTCAGAGCCCTGGGCGAGTGGCCCAGCCTTGGGGCCCCTGCACTCCTCTCATGACACTCTGCCTGCCTCCACCCTGCTCTGGCTTTTCTCTTAGCAAAACCTCCCCTTCCTCAGGGAAGGTTCGGGACCTCTGTGCCTCTGGCTGGGCTGTGGTACTCCCTCCTTCCCACCTAAGGTGGGGGGCCCTGTGCTCAGGGAACCCTACAGACTGAGCACACAGCCCTCCAGCTGCCCGGCATCCCAGCCCCACGGGTCAGGCTTCTCTGGGAGGACTGGGAGGAGGGAAAGAGCCCGCTCCTCTCCTGAGGACTTTGCACTTCCTTCCAGCCCAGCCAGGCTCTGGGGTTGCGGCTGCAGGAGGGTCAGCACAGGTCGTCCCCTGGGGCGGTCTCGGGAGAGGGGGGAGTGCCCTGCCCTTCACCCACCCCAGCCTTACACAGGGGGTGCCGGTGGCCAACATTTGGCATGTGGGGGCACAGGCTGCCCCAAACTTGTTCACTGAGGACTGGCTGCAGGACTGGAATGTCTTGGGGGCTGAGCAGGATGCTGTGGGGAGGAGGGGCCAGGTGAGGCTGGTGAGGCGGAGGCCAGGGCACCTCTCTGTCCAGGTCAGCTGCCTCCGCTGTGCTACTTACCCAGGAGCGTCTGTGGCTGTCCAGGGCAGCTCAGCCGCCCTTTCATACAGTAGCTGCAAGAGAGGCTGTGTGAGTGGGTGGCCCTGGGGCAGGGGCTATAGGCGGGGCCGGGCCGCCCCCCAGGACCCCTCACACACCAGATGACGCCATCGACCACAGTGGACTGGCCAGCCAGGATGAGCTTGTGGTTGTCCAGGAGGCAGGGGCACTGGGCCTTACGCACACACTCAGCCTTATGGTTCAGATAGGTGCCCTCGGGGCAGTTGCAGCCCTCCACGGGGACAGTGCTGGGGTGGCACTCGGCTGCGTGGTCCGACAGTGAGAGGCAAGTGCGGCCGCAGGCCTGGCTGTCATAGCTGTATGTCTGGTTACCCTTGCAGGGGATGGCTGCAGGGAGCCTGGGCGTCAGTCCCTTTGGAAGGTGGACCCTGGACCCTCATCATGACCCCAGCCCCCCACATGATCCCTGTCTCCCTGCCGCCCCCGCCGTGCCCAGCACGCACTGCAGTTGTCCACGCTGCTTCTCCAGCCCCAGAGCAGAATTCCCCGCGAGGCACACGCCTGGGCGTAGTTCCCCAGGGCTGCGCAGATGTGTGGAAAGGTTTCCTCGTAGTTACAGGCCTGGTACACGCATCTCTGCGGGCAGACAGCGGCGTGGGCGCCCACCCTCCCACCACCCAGAGTCCCCCAGGTGCCCCAGCCCACAGCCCTCCTGGCTGCCTGCAGGCCCGCTACCTTGTAGAAGGGCTTGGGATTCACCACGGCGTGGCACTTCTCGAACACCGTGCCTGTGTTCACCAGCACCGAGCAGTGGGTCTCCGCGCATACCTCTGTGGGCACAGGCCCCGTGGGTGTCCCGTGTGCCCAGCGTGGGTCTCCCACCCCACCCTGCAGCCGTCCTGGGGGCTGAGCACTCACTGTTGAGCTGGCTCATGGAGCAGGGGTCAGTCTCCCGTTCCAGGGCAGTCGGGCAGTTCCCTGCTCGCCAGGAGTCCACAAAGAGCGAGGCTGTGCCCTCAGGGATGCCCATGCTGGTCGTGAAGTCATCTGTTGTATCCCCGTTGAAGTTGCCGCAGAGCCCTGAGAGGGCCGGGTGGTGAGGGTGTGTCCTTCGTCCCTGTCCTGCCCCACATCCCCCTAACTGTGCCCTGGGCAGAAGGCCATCACTGGCTGCACCGCTGGGAGGGCTGGCCGCCGGGAGGGGCTGGCCCAGCGCCATGGGCACTGGACCTGCTGGGTCCGAGGGAAGTACTGTTGGGCCCCTTTGCCTCTGTTGAGGTCAGGCTGGCAGGAACAAGGCAGCTGCTGATCCTGGGCTGATGGGGGGCTCACCTCGGGTCTGGCCTCTGAACTGGGGCCCGACTGTGACGTAGGCCTGGAACACAGGCTGCAACTGGATCACCAGCTCCAGCCCGAAGGTAGTAGCCATCTGCAGGTGGGTGGATGTCTGCTTGAAGACCGTGATGTTGCCTGTGGGGACAGGGGCTCAGCGGGTGGCCTGCTTCAGGACCCTGGCCCCCTGGGGCACCTGGGAAGGCTGGACCATACCCGTCTTATACGGCAGCCACTTGGTGTCTCCGTTGTTGGTGATCACCTCGTCTTGGGAGATCACGATTTTGTCCTGGAGGGAGGGTGGCCGAGTCACTGGGGACCAGGAATGTGGGGTAGTGTTCCCTTCTGCGGGCCAAGCGGGGAGCAGTGGGAGCTGGGATTGGCAGAGGCGCCTCTGCTCAGGGTCCTGGGTGGGCACAACAGCTGCGGAGAAGGTGGCCTTACCTGGCTGGACAGGTAGATGAGGGCGACCAGGGAGGTCTCCGAGTGCGAGTATCCAGACTTGTCGTATGCAGCCATGAGGGAGCCCCCATCGGGGAGCTGGGGGCTCTGAGAGGAGAGCAGTAAGCACACGGTGGGGGGCTTGTGGTGACCCCTCCTGACGGGACCCCTTGTGATGTCCCCGTGTGGTGACCCCTCTTGGTGGGACCCCTTGTGGTGACCCCTGCCCTGGGATGACCCCTCCTGGCATGCCCCTAGTGGGTCCCCGGGCGGGGGCTGTCCCACCTGGAGGAGGGTGTAGGTGCAGGTGCCGTGGAAGCGGTAGGGCCTGGCATCGAATGTGGTCACAAAGGAGCCGCCTTCCAGGGCGCAGCGCCGGGGGCAGGGCTTCTCCTTGCATTTCCAGCGTCCCATGGCACATTGGCTGTGGGTGGGGAGGGTGACCCAGAGTGGTGGGCGAAGCTGCTGGGGCCAGATGGCACCCCAGGGTGTTCTAGATCCGCAGAGCTGGCTGCCTCCAGGGCTGAGGCTACCCCCTGACCCACATGTCCCCCACATCCCCTCCTGTCCTTCTGCCCTCCCGGGATGCCCTGCACTCACCAGGTGCGGCAGGTGTCTGCAGTGACCTCCCCGGGGGCATAGGTCACGCCGCCGAATGTGCAGGGGCACTGGGCCACTGGCACGCAGGTGAGGTTTTTGGAAACGTCATCAAGAACCGTACCTGCAGGAAGGGGCTCTCTGGGACTGTGTGGAGACACCCTCCGCCCTCCTGGCAGCCCTTCCCCAGCCGGTCCCCCAGGAGACCCTTGTCTCTGCGTCACACCTCCTTGGCTTGGCTGTGACCCTCACCTCCAGTCCCATCTGCACTCAGCGTTCTGCCCCCTCACACCAAATGCCCAGGCACAGGGCTGCTCCTGGTGAGCGGCAGGCCCTGTCCCTTGCCTGGCTCTGCCCACCTCCTCCCAGTTATCTCTCAGACATGCCCTCCCCATTGGACACCACCTCTCTGTCCTGTGGACTTGCACATGTGGCCGTGAGCACACTTTGGGGGTGGCAGGTGGGGCCTGGTTCCAATGTGCCAGGTGGGGCCATGTGCTGGGTGGGGTGGGGGCTTGTCTGAGGGGTCCCGCAGGGAGAGGCCCCTCACCTTCTGGGCAGAAGCAGCCGAAGGTGCACACGCCGGTGCAGCTGTGCTGCGGGTGGGAGCAGGTCCTGACACAGGCCTCGCCACACTCCTGGTACACCTGGTTGGCCGGGCACTGGCCTAGGGCTGCAGGGACGCGGGGGCTCAGGTGAGAGGGCAGGGGCACCCCAGGGCCCTGCTCCTCACCCAGCCCCTCCTCCACCACCAAGTCTTGTGGATGAGGTGGAATTGGGGTCTGGCCCTCCCCGCCGCCCGCCTGGGGACTCACAGCAGAGGCTGGGGCCCCGCCAGCGGCGGACGGGCTGGCCAGCCAGGCTGCAGTGGCGCGAGAATTCGGACAGCGTAGCACAGGCGCAGCTCTGCTGGCCCGGCTGGGCACATGAGGCCAAGTCCGCCTGGCAGCTCCGCAGGTACGGCTCCTTGGACACGTTGCACTCAGGGGCCACCAGGGTCAGCAGCCGGGTGCAGGTCTGGGCCTGGGCAGAGGGCCGCTCGGTCATGGGGTGAAGGCTATGTCCCACACCCACCGTTCGGACTTGGAAGGCTGTGGCTGGCCCCATCCTGGCTGGAGGACTTCCGGCCCCGGGTGGCCCCATCCCTCACATACGTGCTCTGCCTGCAGGACCTGGGGGCTGGGGATGGCCTCGTGGGTGCAGATCTCATTGGGGTCGTCCAGCTTCTGGAGGGCGGCATACTTGTGGGGCTCCAGGAGTGTGCCTGTGGCGGGGGTAGGTTCAGCACCATGGCTGGCCACAGGGGGACCTGGGGGGACAGGGTCAGCACCATGGCTGGCCACAGGGGACCTGGGCCCGCCCCCACCTACCATCCTCGCTCAGAAACTCGTTGGTCTTCTCGCCGTCGAAGTTCCCGCAGAGCCCACACATTTTGCCCATGTGCCTGTCTTCCACCAGGACCTGTGGGGGGGCGGGCGGGGCCACGAGGGGTAAACAGGGAGGGGCGAGGCCTCTCGGAGCCCCAGGACCCCTTGCCCAGATGCAGAGGCTGCTCACGCCTGCTCCAGGGGCCCAGGGCACCCTCACCCTATAGGTTGTGACCGCCCTCCATCCCCTCCCCGGGAATCTCTTTTCTCACTGGATGGTCCTCATTTTCAAGTGGGGAGGCTGAGCCTTCAGCAGAGCCCAGGCCCGTCCAGGCTCCTGGCCAGAGTCAGCACCAAGTTGGGACCTCCACCCTGAGGAGGGCAGCCCCCAGCTCCACCCACCAACCTGCCGGCCTCCAGGCGCAGCTGCCCCCCCTCCCCACTGGCGTCCTCACCATGAGGTGGCCCCCTGGGCCCCACACAACCACCAACTCCAGCTCCATCTGCTTGGCCACCAGCCGCACGCTCTGGCCAAAGGGGGTGATCTGCAGCCCGTTGCTGGTGTAGGGCAGGCTGACGGCTCTGTGGGGAGAAGAGTGGTCAGCGGCAGCCCCCTCATCCCTGGCCACTCCCTCGGCCCCTGACACCTGGCCACGTGGCCTACCCCACGTCTTTGATGGAGATGACCTCCTGGTTCACCGTGACCACGGAGGCCCCCAGCTCCACAATGACCCGGGAGATGTCGCCGCCGGGCCCTCGCCGTAGCTGGACGCTGAAGGTGGGCGAGGAGGCCTCTTTGCAGATGGCCGCAAAGACATAGTTGCAGGTCCCCTCGAAGTCATACGAGTGGCCGTCAAAGGTGGAGAAGTGGCCGGCCCCCCACGTGGAGCACCAGCCTCTGCCCGGAGCTGTGGAGGGAGCCAGTGGGGCCTTGGAATTCTGTAGCCCCTGGGGAGCCCACGCTCGTGCCCATGCTCCAGGCCCTCCTGGGGAGGGTGGGAGAGAGCCCCAGTCCCCACACCCAGAGCTGGGGGCTGGTCCCGCTGAGCCTTACAGGAGAGCCAGCTGCTGCTGTGTGGGTGTGTCATCAGCCGTGGGGGCTGCAGGACACGAAGCTGCGGCTCAGCCTCTGCCCCACAGAACCCCAACCCCTGCCCCGCACACAAGGTGGCTGAGGCTCTCCAGTGGCTGGATGTCCCGTGTGGAAAGCCCCGACCATGGCCACCCTGTGGTCCTCACCTGTCTGTGGGGAGCCTTTCGGCCTCTGGGGGCCTGGGTGGGCAAAGGAGGTGTTGTCCAGACCTGCGTGGACAGGGCCCATGTCAGTGCTCGAGCCAGCCACCTCTGATCCAGCGCACAGCCCACCCCCGGCTGCTCAGAGCTTAGCTGTGGGCAGGGCCCAGGGCTGGGAAGGGACCACAGTGCTGGCACCAGGCCTGAGCATGCCCTGCTGTGCTCCTCACACCTTGGACTTCTGTTCACTCCCTCGCTCATTCACTCACTCCTTCATTCCGTCTCATCTGCACCGCACCAGCACCTGGCGTGTGCCTGTCACCTGCTGGGTGCAGGAGACAGCGTGGGGACAAGGTCCCGAGAGCCCCTAAGGAAGGTGAGGCTCACGCACACGTGCACACACACACGCACATGCACACGCAGTGAGCAGGGCCAAGGGCTTGGAGATGACATCTCAGGTCCCGCTGGGAGGGTGGGGAGGTTGCTGCGGAGATTCATGTGGCTGAGTGCCGCGCTCAGGGCAGGTGGGTCCGGACACTGGACACCAGCCCTCTCTGGTGCCCACTGGCCCTGGGGTGTCTGCTGGTCTGCCCACCAGGCTCCCATCCCTCTGGGGTGGCCGGGCAGCCGGGCTCCTGCATGGATCTCATTGGGGGTGGTTGTGGGGAGGTGAGGGCAAGCCCTGAGCTCAGAGGGGCTCGGCGGCCTGCAGGCAGGTGGGAAGCGGGAGAGCTGGAGAGGAGCTCAGGGCGGGGGCTCTGTGTGGTGGGACCCCTCTCTGCCCACCCTGTCTCCCTCTGGTGTCCGCCTGGCTCTGCAGACGCTCAGAGGCTGTGGCCCCACTGTGGGCTTCTCCCCCTGGGGCCTAAAAGTGGCTGAGTTCCTGCTTCCTGTGGTGGCCATTGCCGGAGAAACACCCAGGGGCCATGGGTCACGGTGCCGGCAGGGGCAGGCAGCACTCTGGACAGAAAGGTGACCCAGTTCAAGGGACCTGGACGGGGCCTCCCCTGTGGGCCCACCTCCCTTCTTACAGCCGCCTCCCGCCTCCCTGCGGCCCTCCCCTGCCCCTGGTCCCCATGGAGGTCGTTCTTGGGGCTCGGGTGGGCCCGAGGGGAGGTTTGAGTGCTGGCTGGCCTCCGGCTCCCATCCCACCTGGGGCCTCGATTCTGCCGTGGCTCCCGCCCCACTCGGCGGCTGGAAGCAGCTCAGGGGCAGCTCCTGCCTGCTCCCGGTCACCGCACTGGTCCCATCAGCCGTGTCTCTGGGCAACGCCTGCCCGGCAGCCGTGGGGTCCCAGCTGGGGTGGGCAGCACAGGGAGGCCCTGCTGATCCACCTTCCCGAGGGGGCGGTGACCCTGGGCATGGCCCTCCTGCCTCCAGGGCGTTGGTCTCAGCGCACGGCTGTGCCCGCAGAGGGTTACTTCCAGTCCCTGCGTCACCTGACGCCAACCCTCGCCAAGCCCTGTCTCATCTCCTGTCCGTCACTCTGCTCGGTCCCCACCCGGCCCAGTGGCCTCAGGCTCTGTCTTGACAATGACGCCCCATCCCACCTTGGCTGCGGGGGCTCCTTTGAAGATGCTCAGGAGGCCGCTGTGCTTCCCACCACTGTCAGAGCAGGCACTAACCCCTGGCTGGACTCACGGAGCCCTAGGGCGGGCTGGTCCGTCAGCCCTCAGCCGCTGGACCAGCCATGCGGGGCCAGAGCACTTGCTGTCCTGCACACTTGGCCGTCCCGCTGCCCTGCCGCCCCTGCCTGTTCTGGCTCCCCTGTGGCCCACCTCCCTTCTTACAGCCACCTCCCCGGCCCTGCAGGGGCCTCCTTCCCTGTCCCACAGCCTCAGCCTCCCGGGACCCCGGTGTCAGACCTCATGCCTCTGGTCCATTAGGGCAGGGCCCATCTCTCCCTTCCTCCCTCCCAGGCTGGCACCAAGGTGGTACTTGGAGCATTTGCTGAGGTTCAGACAGACCCCCCCTGGCACATGCACAGCCTGGACCCCCTTGATCCCCAGACCTGCAGGCCCACCCCTCACCCTGCTGGCTCCAGGGCACCTCCCTCCTCCCCCAGGCTCCGGGTCTAGGTCTGGGAGTCCCCAGGGCCAGGGAGGGGCCCCGGATGTGGCCTCAGCTGGGCAGGGGTCCTGAGTGCTCAGAGCCGCCCTAGCGGGACAGGGGGGCCTGGAGTTCTGGGGAGGGGCTTCGAGGGAAGGAAGGGTCGGGGCCGTCCCAGGGGAGACCCACTGGGCTGGTGTCTGCAGCCTGCCCCCTGCACCTGGGCCCACTCCCAGCTCCCCAGGGGGCTGGTGGGGATGTGGGGCCACCAGGGGAGGGACAGCAGGCCGAGGACTGAGGAGAGAGAGTGAGACCCTCTGGGCTCAGCTGCCTGAGCTCTCAGGGAGGGAGAAGACACGGGGCCTGGTGCCGGTCAGTGAGGAGGGTTGTAACGTGGGCAGTGCCTGGTTGGCAGGGGCACAGGGATGAGGGTGGGGAGGAGGAGGGGACCCCTGCCCTGAGGGCTGATGGGCGAGACTGGGTAGGCTCGTGGCAGCCACACAAGGGGTGATGGTGCCCCACTTTCGCAGTCAGGGAAACTGAGGCCCGAGCCGACTGAGTGGTCATCGTTCACAGCCAGGACCCACGGAGCTGGACCTCCATCTGGGCTTTCTGGCCCCAACACCCACAAGGCCCTACATCACTGTGGCCACCTCTGGGGACCCCATGACCTCTCAGGACCCCCTTACCCAGCGGGAGGGTGGGGTGCCCGGCGCAGGGCTGAGCCCCAGCCCTGCCCACCCAGCATGGGCTCTGGCACTTCAGCCTTTGTGGAGGACACTGCCCATCCCGTGGGACCGCCGCTCACCCAGGCCCAGAGCCCACCCTCCCTGGCGAGGGTGGCCCAGGCCTCGGCCAGCACAAGACGGTCAGAGCGAGGAGGGGCTGGCCAGCCCAGTTTTGGCCAAGTCAGAGCAGCCAGGGAGACTTTCCCCGCCTTGGGGGCCGCTGAGGGCACCTGGCCATCCCTGGTGCGTGGCCGCGGCCCCCACTCACCGGCGCTGAGCAGGGCTCCCCCGCAGGACAGGAGCAGCAGCAGCCGAGGCCCCAGCATGGTGCGAGAAGAGAGGTCCCCGCAGGACCTGGCCCCTCTCACCGCTCGACGCCAGGCAGGCTCGCTGCACCTGTGCACCCGGGCAGCCGGCCTCAGGCGCCTTATGTAGGGGCCACGGGCCCTGCCCTAGCCGCGCCCGCCCGCGCCCCACGCTCCGCGGCCCTCTAATTGCCACCGCGGCCGGGCGCAGCGGTGGCCAAACAGGATCTCGGGTGCTGCTTTATCAGGACTCTTGGAAAAATTCTTCAGCGGGCAGCGGCCCCATTATCACTCACTTCCGCACAGGGGGCTGGCACTCTTCCCATTTGCTCCAGGCTGAGATTGCTAGGGGCCGTTGTTCTGGGGGACGGTTCTGGGGGTCAGCATGGGCACCATCAGCCACAGCTCGGCAGCCGAGGTGGGGCTTGCCCAGGGCATGGGGGGAGATGCCAGGCACCCTCTGCCCCCGCAGAGAGCCCAAGGTGCCAGCACAGCTCCTGGGGTGAGGGACCCCCAAAGGGCACTAGCATGCTGGACCCCACTCCCCACCCTCAGAAGAAAGACCACCCAGTGGAAGGACCCTTCCTGAGGGGACACAGTCCAGACTGCCCTTTGGGTTGGGGCCCCAGGTGCAAGGCCATCATGGATGGGCAGCCGGCCTTGGGGCTCAGACAGAACAACTGCCCAGAGGCCTGGGGAGTTCCCAGGGCTGACACCACAGGCCCGGGTACAGGGGCTGCTCCTGGAGACCCCTCCTCAGCCAGCCTCCTGGGACTTTGGGTCCCGGGCAGGGGTAGAGTGGCCATGCTACACCCCAGGGCCCCCAGTTACCTTTGCTGACCCCCACAGCTCTGAGGTGTCACCTCAGGCACAGGAGCAGGGGCAGGCGGCCTCGGGCTGCCCATTGGGGGTGTCTCCGTGGGGCTGTGCCAGCCTCAGGTGCAGATCCCACAGCCCCCCGGGAGGGCAACGTGGCTCCTGGGGCAGCATCTCAGGGAGCAGGGGTGGTGGGGCCAGTGGGCCTTTGTCCGTGGGCTGGATATCCATCAGGGTCGTGAGGGGTCAAGGTCGTGGTCAGGGTGAGGTGAGGGTCAGGTCACGGGTGTTTTGGACACTCTGTGGGTCCCTTACAGTGGGGGAGCAGGGCAGGCCTAGCTCTCCAGGCTAGCTTGGGTCTGAGTGGGGCCCCACATTGGAACTCGGGGTCTGGCTCAGGGGGCTTCCTCTCTCCAGAGGGTAGTTCTGGACCCACTAAGATGTGGGGTGTGGGGGAGCCCTAGCTCCCTCCACTGAGGACCTGCGTCTAGGCCGCCAGCCAACCCCAGGCCCGGGCTCCCTCTGTGGGGCTGACCACGGAGCCCGTGTGGCCTGGCTACACCCCAGGGCCCCCTCCCACCCTGGAGGCCCAGCCGCTCAAGCTCGGAAGCTGCCACCTGTTTTCCTGAAAGAAACTCTAGTTTTAATAAAGTTGTTCTAACAGAAACCGCTCCCGGCAAGCTGCTGGCCCTCAGGCGCCAAGTCCCGGATGTCGCCCCGTCCTGTCTCCGTCAGCTCGAGTGACCCCAGTACCCATGGCCCGGGGTGCACCCCACCCAGGCCACTGAGAGGCTGATGCAGTCACACAACTGGGTAAGGGGTCCCGGGTGCCCCCCTGGGTTCCCTGCAGCAAGAGGCAGGGCCGAGAGGGGCCGTGGCCTGGGGTCTGCGGACAGTCTGTCCAGGCGTTGCCGCGGGGCCGCCCTGGGGCTCTCCCTCCGAGAGCTCACGCAGTTGTGGGGTCCCCTGATGCTCCAAAGGTACAGGCAGAGCTGGGGTCCCACAGGGGTAAGGGTGGGCCTCCCTCAGGCCTGGCCCGGGTGCGGAAGGTGAGGGTGCCCGCGTGGGGCCCTGGGGAGTGATGTGTCAGGCCCAGGACAGGCGAGGAGGAGGGGGAGCCAGAGCCCTGGTGGGAAAGCACCCCGGCGCTGGAGCTGTGTTCTGGGGGGCCATCTGGGGTCATCCCCCACCACATAAAGCCACCAGGGCCTGGGTGCTACCCATCCTCTGCGTCCCCTGTGGCTGGGCTGGCAGTGGAACCGAGCCCTGGGCCTCCAGCAGCTCCACCTGCCCCCCAAGGGACGTGCCGCCCACCCACAGGCCTGCCCGCCCCCCCCAGCAAGCACCCAACCACGAGGCCCTGACACGGGTGCTCCCCCACACGGCCCCCAGATGTCCCTCAGCTCCCCCATCCCTGCTGACTGCCCTCCTGCGTCCCGTCTCCACTCAGTGCCCCATGTTGGCAGCTGTGGGGTCTCCCAGCAGTGCCGCACTCCGTGGGGGTCTGTGCGCCTGTTCTCCAGGTCCTGGCACCTGGAGGGCCCAGCAGGGGCAGGTGAAGCTGGAGGGAGTGAACTGTAGTCACGGGACACTCCTGGGTCACTGGCCTGCAAGGCCTGGGGAGGGCCAGGGGCTTGTGGCAGACAGGGGGTCCCCAGTGTCACCCCCAGCAGCTTGAGGGACGAAGCTCGAGCATGTGTGTCTGGGTTGTGTGTGGAGACATGTGTATGTACACGTGTGCATGCATGAGTGGGTCTGTGTGCATGTGCGAGATGCAGCTTGAGTTTCCTGGAAAAACCGTTCCAGGATCCGTGACCGCATGGCTGCTTGGCTTCCAGTGCTGGGGTTGGTGGACGGCTCCGTGGGTGGTGGCTCCAGGGCTGCAGGGGCCGGGGAGGGGGCATCACAGGGAATCATGGAGAATGGCGTGTTTGTCGTGACCCGGAGGCGCTCAAACACGCTGAGCAAACAGCGGGGAGATAAGCGTGTGTGTGGCCATTGTTTCCAGCGGTCTCGGCGATAAGCGCAGTTCCCGCTGGCCGAACCGGGGAAGCGGAACCGGGTGGACAAGGGGCAATTGTGTGTCCTCAGGCCCCGGCTGAGGCCTCTGCCCTGCCCGCCCTCCCCACGGGGGCCCTGAGCAGCACCGGGCACCCTGGGGCCAGGTTGTGAGCAGGGAGCCCTGAGGCACTGAGGCCCGGCCTGGGAAACCCGTGTCCAGGGCAAGGGCCGCAGGCCGATTCCTGCTTCCTGGCTTAATGGGGAGGATGGGCCCTGTCCTTGCGGCCGTGGCTCCCGGCAGCCCTGACCTGACCTTGGCTGGGAACTGAGGGACTGATGGAGACACTGGCGTTCACCCCGGCCGGGGCTTGCGGAAGGCTCTGGAACGGGCGCAGGCCTGGGTCCCGTCACAGGCAGAAGGCCCCCCCGGGTTTGCTGGACTCTGGTTTACAAGGTGCCGGAGCACATGCTGGTTGGCCCACCCCCTGGACCCCACCTGTCAGGTGTGATGTTCCCGGGGCGGGCGGGCAGGTGGGACGTCACTGCCCCCAGGTGTGGCTGCACTAACCATGGTCACATCAAAGGGCTGAAAACTGTGCCTTTCAGGTGAGCTGGGTTAGGATTTTGACATGGGAGCAGAACTGGCCTTTGTGTGGTCGTGCCCAGGCCTGGACAGCTGCCCTCGCCTGTCCGAGGGGCCCGGGCCACGGTCCGGAGGCTGTGCTGACCGGCCAGCACTGGGCTGCGCAGTGGACCGGTGCCTCATTGCAGAGCCAGTGGGGACTCCCACTGACTCATGCTCAGTGGTCGGCCAGGCTGACCCTTGACCTGGCCTGGGAATTGGGCTCTCAGGTACCTGCTGCTTGGGGACATCGTAGGGACCAGGAGGTTTTGCCTCCAGAGCAGTGACCTGCAGCCCCTTCTCCCTGTAGTCCCGCCTCACCTGAGACCCTTGCCCTGGAACCGCAGCCAGCTGGGCCCCAGGTTCTCAATTCCAGGCCCATCTGGAGCTGCTGGGTCGGACCAGCTGGGGACAACCAGAGCCAGCACCACAGGTGGGGGTGGGACCCAGGGAGGGTGCTGCAGGGGGCAGACCCCTCCCCTCCTCCCTGAGCTCCTCCTCCAGCAGACGGCCCCCAGCGCCTGACCCCCACCATTTGCACTTTCACCCTCTGTCCCTGGGCCTGGATTTGGGGTGGGCATTGCCCCCACCTCAGCCCCTGCCCTTCCTCCTGGGCTCGGCCTCCCCACAGGGCAGCCTCAGTGCTGCCCACTGCCCACGGCCCTGTGTGTGGCCCTCAGGGGAAGAGACCATCACATCTGTGGCTGTAGGAGGGGTCCTGGCGGCTGCAGCTCCTGTCCAGGGGGCAGGAAAGGGAGCCTGGAGCCGGGAAGCCGCTCTCCAAGGGTCTGGACAGGCCCGTGTGCTCACCGTCCACCGTCTCCAGGCCAGGCCTGTGGGCCTTTCCATCCATTTTAAGTGCTGGGCCCTGTGCTGGCCCTGACGGGAGCACCACAGACCAGGAGCCAGTGACAGTAGGGGTGGGCCGGGCCCTCCAGGGAGTGGGTGCAGGCCCACCGGGTGGGTGGGCAGCTAAGGGGCAGCCTGAACCTGGGTGGGAGAGCTGGCCCGGAGCTAGATGCCCGCCTGCAGGAGTGGGGCCTGGCCAGCCCGCCCCCCCCACAGGGAGGGCTCAGCGAGGGATGTGTGTGGGAAACTGCCCAGGAGGGGGGCCTGGCCCAAGGCTTTGGGCAGCGTCCAAGGGGCCCCCACCTGGCTGGCGCTTGGCACAGCTGCCCAGCATGGTTGTCACACCTGACCCCTTGATCCCACCCCCATCAGGGCACCTCTGACTCCACTGTGGCTGGAGTTGGCACCACCCAGCCAGCACCCCCAAATGCTGCCTCTTCCTCACACACCTCCGACCCTGTAGGGGGAGCCCTGGCTGCCCCGGAGATGCTCACTGGCTCCATGTCCGTGTGTCTGGTGGGAACTCAGAGCCCTTAGCCCAGGCTTGTTGCCCCCGATCCTTGAGTGGAGGGTCCCAAAGGCTCCACTCCCAGGGTCCTGGTGTCCCATTCCAGCCCCCGGGCCTGAATATCTACTCCCCCCACAGCCACAGCCCTGACCTCGAGAGCCCCCCGACCCGGCTGAGACGACCCCCCACTGGCCCCCCACTGGGTTCACGGTGATCTCCGGAGAC